AAAATGCTTTTCCCGGCTAAAGTGACGTCCGCTACTCGCTAAGTGAATTAAATTTTGCGCGGGCATTCATTACACGATTTGACATGATACAGTAATTACAACTAATGAACTAATTCATCATTAGGGCTAATTTGAATTACAATTATTAAATTACTCGAACCGGGGGTAATACCAATCCGGCTAATAGCGTATTGTTGTACCCTATTAACGCACGAAAAATACCCACATCGAAATTGATTCATGGCGTGTCGTTGTCGTCATTCTAGTTTACAACCAGGAACGACTTATTCAATTTACACAATACGGCACTGCGGCGCGACATATTACATGCAAATTGCTCTCATCCTCAATCTATTAATCACGTTCTTCGTTGCGATATAACCTAACGATTTTCATCTCAAGAGAACTTTAAACGTGGGAACATGCAAATTGGATTGGTGGCCGTGCCTTTACATTCCTCTCGCAAAATCACTTTATTGCTAAATTTAAATGATGCGAATTTTATTATTAAAACTCAAGGAGTTAATTTCAAAAGCATGCACCGAGATTACGCGGAAAAATCGACGAGTGTTACGCGAAAAGGGTGGGTTAGCGTGGTTGCGAGAACGTTGAAGCCATTTGGGCAACTTTAAAATTGCTTATTCCTGTAGTCGAATTAAGCTAAAAGAGAGAGGACGGCGCTGAGTGCATTTCGGTGACAGACAATGAACGCCGAGCAACAGTACAACGCAAGGCACTTAACGGCGCCCCGGAAAATAGTACGGCAGTATGGTAATGTAATGCTCTCCCTTTAATGCCTTCCGCCGTCGACTCCACCGACACCCGACCCCCTTAACACTCCTACCACCCGCCGAAAGTGAAAACACCGATTCCCGGCTATCGGCAATGAATCACCGCGGGTCGATAATCAAATTAGGTTTAAAAGCAACCGTTCGCGGGTACTGCTTTTAACACGCTCTACTCATGGAAATTTGCACAAAAGTTCTTCCGAAAACGTCCTCATAAAAGCTTTTGTAAACGATCATAAAGATTCATTCTATTATTAGTCCTAAATCCTATATTTGAACAAGTTGGAACAAGTTTCCTATATTAAATAATAGACAAGATAATTTCTCAACCCAACCCAACCCCCAACTGAGAACAGAGTAAGATAAGCTAATTAATTTAAACGCAAGGCTTAAAAAAATGATGATATTGATGTTCAGGCTTAAAACCTTAAAGAACAAATTCGAGCAACTGCAAAGAATTACCTTTACAGCAAAAGAAAAGTCAGTTATTCTATTGAAATCAAGGAAGCAAGAAGGTTGCAGAAACGCTGCAAAAGAATTTACAAAATATGGTCCTACAGCTTTCCTGGATATATCAAAGATTTTTGAACCAAGTACTTGGCTGCAATTTCACAAGGTAGTGTCTTAGGATCACCCCTTTATCTGTATTTGGAACATACGGTAAAAGTTTCAACTCAAATGGAAGCTATGGAAAAAGTTTAACTAGCAGTTAACAAAATTCAAACATGGACTAGGGATTGGAAAATACAAAAAAGACTTGAAGTTGATCCACGTTAATAAACAGCAACCTTACTATGTCTTTTGTCTAATTCTTCTTTAGCGAAGATTTCGTTTAGATCTTGTAGTATGCAGTATGTTGCATCTTGTGCAAGTGATCTTGAGTGGCAGAAGTAATTGACTTCGAAATTATTAAAGCCAATACTGTACCACTCAAGATCACTAATGCAACATACTGGATACTAGAAGTTCCAAGAGAGACAACACTATTATCGTAATACCCAGCTTCAATCACCCCATCGCAATTCCAAGGAACATCTCTGTAAAAAGACCCATGGGTTATTCCAAAACTATCTGAAGAAAAAGTGATCAAAAAATGAGGAGATACGAAACGTTAATTGGTGTCATGTGAAACACTTTCAACTCTATGAATCGTCATTATAGTTGTTATCACATGGGGACTGTATCAATGATGACGTCCAACATTGAAGAAGGGATTCCTCTGCAAACGTTTAACCCAATATCATCTGCAGTCGGAGAAATTCAACTACAACCAATTTACACGGAAATTCGCCAAAGAATGAACTCCGAACAATAATATGGTGTAGTGAAGTAATATAAGAAAAGACAATAACTTCACTAGTAATAACTTTTCTATTTTTTTATGCGTGCAGGATGTTTAATCTTAATTAAGTAATTAAATATAAATAAGTAAAGTACACAATAATTAAAGATATCTTCGTAATGCTCATTTCCTTCCTAAATTAATGTCTGGAATCAATATCTGGCCTTCTCGGAGTTTAATTCATTCCAAAATAAATATCTGACTTACCCGGAGTTTATGGACTTGCCCGGAAACTGCAATTGAAACATTGTGATACTAATTCTGCAATGAGCCAAAAGTGCATCTTAACCTAACTGGGTTAGCTGTGTCTCCTGAAACTAACAAATTTTTCGTATCAACTCACTTGACAGGATATCGCACAACTCCATCAATCCTGATTTCCATTATATATATCGCTAGCATGTTCAAAAAAGCCGATGAAGGAAGAACAACCTAAGTCATCAAAAAGGCAATGAAGCAAATCTTACTAAGAAATATACTGATTGGGACAAGTGCAGAGAAGATAACCTAATTAGTTTAAACGCACGATTAAAAAAAAAGATGATCTTGATGTTGATGATAAAATTAGATAAAGAACCAAAAAATTAAAGAATTTACAAGTTATGGTCCTACAGCTTTCCTGGATGCTTCAAAGGCCTTTGATATGGTGTAGGACCAAGTACTTGGCTGGAATTTCACAAGGCATTGTTTTAGGACCACTCCTTTATGTACTGTATACCGGAGATATTTCAATTTGAAAAGTTGCTGTACCTCGAACATATGGAAAAGTTCAACTAGCAGTTAATAAAATTCAAAAATGGACTAGGAACCACGTTACTAAACGATTCTCCAGCAGAATCAACAAAATCTCTTGGTCTCCAACTGGATGGCAGATTGAATTCGAAGCATCCTTTTAGACAGAAAATTAATGCTCCTAACATTATTTCTGATCAAAAAGACTTCATTATCAGTCCATAATTAAGACTATTTGGATTTGGTGACTCCGGTTTACTCACAAGAGAAGAAAATGAAACATTGTGTTACTAATTCTGCAATTAGCCAAAAGTGCATCTTTTGAACCAAAACGTCATCTCACTTGACACGATACCGGGTAATTCCATCAATCCATCTCTACATTATGTATATCGCTAGCACGTTTAAGGAAGCTGATGAAGTCACAAAATCTTGTAAAATTAATTTTTGATGGCTTCTATAATTGCGACAAAGAAGTTGACGTCTCAGTAATGTCTGGAATCAACAGTTTCCTGTATTTGGATCATGTTGCACATCGTCGTGCAGGAATTGAGAACTTCAACTTCAAGTTTTACCAATGGCTTGATTCATTTTTTCCTTGTTTCAAAATAAAGTGCGTGTCTCTCAGATATGAGTTGAGCAACTTATCGAAGGCTTGATACATTATTCTGATCTTTAATTGAAAAGATGTAGCTTTTTAGTCTTCTGGTGTGTCATAACCTGAGGTTGGGTTGGGTTCGGTAGAGTAGGCTACTCTTGTATATGCTTAATCCTGTTTCTATATGCATATTTAAACTTTTAATTTTTTTCTGAAATTAACTCTAATTTAAGACTGTTTGTTTAAAACCGTTTGTTACTAAGTAGTTTCTTTAGTTTCTTTTAATTTCTCGTATTTTACTAAATTTATTTTCCGTTTAAATAGCTGAATATATTATGAAATAATGTATTTTAAAGCGATAATGCAATAATAGTACGGTGTAAAGTGCTTTCTTTCCCCTATTACGTGTTAATGTAAAAGGAAAAGATAAGGAAAAAAATAGAACTTGTATTCAAATGGAAATGAATGTGTAAATGTTACTTAAAGAATTAAGTCATTTAAAAAAAGGAAACGTACGCATATCTATTTCGCATTATAAGCACAAGAAAAGTTAAAAGGTTCTATAAATAGTTTAAAGAACGTGTGTGCATTTCATGTTAGGAAAGATAACCGTGAACCAAGCAACCAAGCGGTCGACCACACGATTGTTGCGTTAGTTGCCGCGGTTTACTGACATGTAAATTGAAACAAAAATAAGCTACGTGGCTGGAAAAGCCAATAACACAATGTATACGATAGGTAAACTCAAACTGGGCGAAGTGACGATGATAGTGTAAATAAGTCCGTTGTTTTGGACGTCTTAATGTTTTATTACAATTTATGAGACGTAAAAGGGGCGTTTGAAATTTGATAATTAAATAGAGGGTCAGTTGGATGGTTGCGTTTCATCGAAGCGGGGCATTTTGGAACAGTAGACACGGTGATGTACACGTTCGGAACAAACGGGCCGGAATCCGGTCGATAGTTCGCGGACAAAGCGCACTAATTGACGGCGCCATTATTTCGGTTTAAACAATTATGCAGTTTACGGGGATTTGGTCCGGCCTCGGCCTCGGCCTCACAGAGTGAGAGAGAGACAGATCGAACTGCTGCCGCCCGTTTCATTAATCACTGCCCCTAATTAGCTCAATTGTTCTGCAGTGTCGATTACGTTCCCAATCTCCTCCTCCTCTACGGCGTCGCGACGCCGCCGCCACCGCGGCCTCCAACTCTAACGAGGGATTCTCTCTAATTAGTAGAGAGATTTTCGTTGTTCAAACTCCCAACCAACTCTATTACCTTCCCAACAAAATGCATACCTACAACAATGTTTGTACACAAGTTTTGACTGAAGTAATTAAGTAATCAAAAAGGACGGTGATTTATTTAATTGTCATTGAACCGTTAAATCTTATTTGCATAGAGAGTGAAAATAAAGTAATATGTGGGCTGATTTGTAGGTTTTTCGATAACGTAACCGATAGATAGTGATTGTAATGAGCCCGCATCCGTATGGAGTGCATCGGCCCCCGACGATGTTACTTATTGCGTCCGTTGTTAGTTGCAGGACCGGACCAGACCATGAGGCGCCTTTGGCCGGGGCACAGAGGACTCCACTGAACGCCCAACGCTTAGCATGCACAGCACAGATAATGTTCCTGGTAAGTGTCCAAATCGCGCAAATTAATGTAGCGGAATTCGGATTATGATAATGATGTCAAAAACAACCCCTCCCTAACTTAGCTTGCCAACGTTAAAAATATCCATCAACATGAAATACAGTGTGTTAAGTAATTATCGTCATCATTGCAAGTATGCAACCAATATCACAATGGAATACGCATCATACGCAAATCGCGTATTGCAATAAAAATACTGCGATATTGGCTGCATACTTGCAATGATAACGTCGGGTACGATAATTACTTAACACACCGTACGTTGTAACCAGTTTAAAAGATCGAGTTTGTAACAGGAAGTCTTTCGATTATTATTGGCGACGATGGGTGAGGTAAAACAGCTTAATTCCTCGTTTTGCATGTTTTGCAAGGTATCGGGATTGGCCGCAGGCGGCGGTTGCGGCTTCGTCGTCGATATAAATAATGTATGAAGAGAGAAAGAGCCGGAATGCGAGACGCTTATAACTGTTACGGTCCGACACATTCTCCGGTGTAACCTTAGATCTACTCGAAGCCGCTGCGTTGTTGCTCTCAGCCTCCCCATGGCTTTGATAAATATTAAAACACGCCGGAGCGCGCCAGACTCCGGGTATAATTCATGCCGTATGCCTGAAAAAGCCCGTTCTGAAATGTTTTAGTGCATACGCCGCTTGAGCATCCGATAAAACCGGACAACTTGGTACCTTTCTGACCTTCTTTAAGACTCTCACACAATAATTTAACATTAGATTTAAGAATACTTTAACCCGATTAATCTTCGGAAAATATATCTTTATACGGGCCGTTTCAATTTCGGATGTATTTTACTCGAGGGACCGATGAGGGCAGTTCAAGTATAAACACACGGGGGCCGCACGTGGCGGCGGCATCTCGCGGCCCATCCGTCAACGTGTCAAACTTTGCCAATGTATTATACAGGGCCGGCGTAATATCAAAGTTTCTTAATAACGGCACTAGATATTGCGATGCGCCGCTCTCTTACCTCCCCAGGAAACTTTTAATTTCCCCCCTCCGGCGTCCCAACGTTTCCCCGGACACCACCGGGGCCCCATACACGCGTCCACCTTAGCGGCGCCATTAAGAGCGGGAGTTAATTAATTTTTTAAGCGGCCTCGCCCTGAGTGGAATATTAAATGGCTAATACCCTGATATTTCATTACGTTTTGTAATTTGATAAAATATTTGATTCATTGTTCATTTAAAAAAGACGCAGTAACTGGATAACACAGGCTATAATAAGATTCGTTAATGAGAAGAAAAGATTACTTATAAATTACAAGCGAAATCCCAATGATACGGCAAGAAAGTGGAGTATATCCATCTCATTTTAAGCAATCAGTAGTGATCCCAGTACACAAGAAAGGGTATACCTTTAGTAAAGATATTAAACAAAAAAAAAGCTTTATCAGCTTTTATTTAATAGTAGGGTATTTAATTTGTAATTGATTTCTCAATCGTTTGTTTTGCTCTATTCCGTGTACTCCACTTCCTTTTTGTGCTTATTTTAATGTGGAAAATCGATAACGTATCTACTTTTGAATATTTTTGTGTTACGATTAAATTAAAAGTTAATTATTCAATAAAATCAGTTACTCTTCTGAGTTGTCACTGTCAATTTGACATAAAAAAAATAATACCAACCTAATTTATTTTTTATTTTTTCTATACTCTGTTTTTAAACCAGGAGGAGTATTTTAAATTTGTCACCAGATTGACCTTGCACGTGATTGGTTGAATGAGAGGAAGGTTCACACACAGGCAATTTTGAATTTGAAGGTTAGGTAATTGATAATTCGACAGTTTCGTGTCATTATTGTATATTTTGTGTTCTTAAACCCTTTTTTATTATATTTTGAAATAAATACACTCATAACTTCAATGTTAATTTGTATGTTTAGTGTTGACGATAACAAACGAAAATAAATACAATAATAAGTAAATAAATAAATAATAATAATTATTAATTTAAATTTACCGCCAAAATATCTAGTGATATTTTCTGGTGATTTTTCCTAGTGTAAATCTGACTTTCGCGTTTACTCCTCCTGGTTTAAAAACAGAGTATAGATAATTTAATTTAATTAATCAAATGTGACTTTATTAAGAAATTATTAATAATTCTTGGATTATAACAATTCTTCTTTGTGTTTGTAAATATTTGTTTTGGTATATCGTAAAAAAAAAAATCGTATTAATTTTGATTTGGAATCATTTAATGCTTCATATTATAATCATTTAATTTATTTTAAGTTAATATTTAACAGAAATGAAAATGCACATTTCAAAATAAAATTATTAAATTTCGAACGAAAATCATTATTATTAACAATTTTAATGCAATTGTTAATTTATGAGTTGTCACTGTCAATTTGAAATTTAAAATTAATACCAACCTAATTTGTTTTTATTTTTTTTTAGATAATTTAACTTATTTAATAAATTAAATGCAATTTTATTAAAAAATCATTAGGATTTCTTGGATTATAACAATTATTTTATTTATTTGTTAATTTTTATATTAATTTATCTTAAAAGAAAATAAAATCGTATTAATTTTTATTTGTTAATCATTTAATGTTAATTTATTTTAAGTTAATATATTTAGGACAAATGAAAATTCACATTTTAAAATAAAATCATTAAATTTCGAACGAAAATCATTATTATTAACAATTTTAATGCAAGTTTATTAATAATTATTAATTTATGAGTTGTCACTGTCAATTTGAAATTTAAAATTAATACCAACCTAATTTGTTTTTATTTTTTTTTTTAGATAATTTAACTTATTTAATAAATTAAATGCAATTTTATTAAAAAATCATTACGATTACTTGGATTATAACAATTATTTTATTTATTAGTTAATTTTTATATTAATTTATCTTAAAAGAAAATAAAATCGTATTAATTTTTATTTGTTAATCATTTAATGCTAATTTATTTTAAGTTAATATTTAGGACAAAAGAAAATGCACATTTTAAAATAAAATCATTAAATGTCGAACGAAAATCATTATTATTAACAATTTTAATGCAAATTTATTAGTAATTATTAATTTATGAGTTGTCACTGTCAATTCGTAATTTAATATTAATACCAACCTAATTTGTTTTTATTATTTTTTTTGGTAATTTAACTTATTTAATAAACTAAATGCAATTTTATTAAAAAATCATTAAATTTCGAACGAAAATCATTTTTATTATCAATTTTAATGCAAATTTATTAGTAATTATTAATTTATGAGTTGTCACTGTCAATTCGAAATTTAAAATTAATACCAACCTAATTTGTTTTTATTTTTTTTAAGATAATTTAACTTATTTAATAAATTAAATGCAATCTCATTAAAAAATCATTAAGATATCTTGGATTATAACAATTCTTTCATTTATTTGTTAATTTTTATATTAATTTATCTTAAAAAGAAAGTAAAATCGTATTAATTTTTATTTGTTAATCATTTAATGTTAATTTATTTTAAGTTAATATTTAATACAAATGAAAATGCACATTTTAAAATAAAATCATTAAATTTCGAACGAAAATCATTATTGTTATCAATTTTAATGCAAATTTATTAGTAATTATTAATTTATGAGTTGTCACTGTCAATTTCAAATTTAAAATTAATACCAACCTAATTTGTTTTTATTTTTTTTTTTTAGATAATTTAAGTTATTTAATAAATTAAATGCAAGTTTATTAAAAAAATCATATATAATAATAATATTCTTGGATCTAGCAAAGGCATTTGACTCGGTAAACCACCAGCGATTGTTGAATGCTCTTGATGCCCTAGGAATAAGAAATAATTTATATATATAGGAATATAGTCAACCCAACCTAAGTTTGCTAAGCAAATATTTGAACAATGCTACTCGGCTTTACTGTACAACATTTTCTCGTACAGTGTGTTAATTAATTATGGTACCCAGTATGCAACCAATATCACAGTATTGGTATTGCAATATGCAATTTGCGTATTGGGTTGCATACTTGCAATGATGACGTCGGGTACAATAATTAATTAACACAGTGTACTTGTTATTACACACTTGAACATAATATTACCTCATAGAGCCGATTTTCGATTTGTGAGTGATAATTGTAAAGATTAATGTGAATTGTAAATGAAATTTTTAATGTAATTATTATTATTAATAGGATATTTGTCACGGTTGATCTTAATCCGGAAGTAAACTGGCACGTGACAAGAGTCACTAATGCAAGAACGGATGCATCGAGATTAGTCGGATTGGCAGTAATTGAATTTGTAGCCAAAGTCAAAGTTTACATTATGATAAATGACAATTCTGCGTTAAGGTTTCCGCGATGTTGGTAAATTATTAGATCTGTACATAGGTTGTGTGTGTCGAGCTATTAAACTATTAATTAATCGAACTTCGACGTCGAAGCTTTTAATAACATCGCGTCACGCAGAAAGCGTTAATTAATTACCTTCGCGGCGAAATCCTCGTCTTCCAGTCAAAACTTTAACGGCGTAGTAGCTGATTAACGCCGCTTCGTCCAACGGAAATCAATAACCCCAGTATAAAGTTGATCAAGTTTTTGATAGCCGAACGGTTTCCGGCAGCCCACTTTGCATAAAGTTGTGCGCGCCGATTACGGAGGCACATTGTATTTTCAGATTGTATCCGCTCGTTTTCCCTCGTGTATTAGAATTTTATATTGGGGTTTCAACAACGAAGTGGGGCACACACTTACATGACTTTGCACGCGCTTTCCATGGCAAGAATGTGCCATTCTTACATTTATTTTAGCAGGAATTTAAGAATGGGTGTTTCTTCGAAAGTTTAATTACGTCCGGGTCCGTGAGTTGGCAAAGCAAAAACAAAGGGGTCCTTAATCAAGGGGTCTAAAAACGTAACTCGATTATTAAAAATTTAAAGTCGTAAATGTTAATTAAATCGGCGGGCGCCGGCGTCGCGCAGGCAGTCCGCGGAGAAGGACGGAA